CCAGCTCCTTTTCCATGCACCCCTCCACCTCCTGCCACTCCAATCACTATGAATGGGGCCCCAATAGTGATTGGGGCCCCAGCCAGACCAGGTTGTGGGGCAATCAGAGCCTGGTGCAGCACTGGAGAGCCAAGTGGTGGCCCATGGCCTCCCAGTCTGTGCATGGGGCAAGGGCGGGTTGCAGCACTCAGCCTCTGCTCTGTGCCTCACTGCTGCTGCTTTGATCGTGGCATAGTGCCATTTGAGCCCCTCCACTGGGTGAGCCAGGCAGAGAGGCACATGGTGCCATGATGCTGTCAATGCAGTGGCAGCAAGGCAGGGAGCAGAGACTGAGCACAGCCCACAGCTTCAGCCTGCCTTTGCCCCATGCAGAGACCAGGGGGACCATGGACCATGCCCCTGGACAAGCCATAGGGCTTTGATTGCCTCATTACCTGGCCTGGCTGGGCCCCATTCACGGTGACTGGGGTCCCAGTCAGATTGGGTTGTGGGATAATGGAAGCCTTCAGAGGCACAGCCCAGTGGGGTGGAGTGGGGAATGGAGCTGAAGCAGGAAGGAGGGGGAGAGGGGAGTGGGCCCAGACCCAAACTGGCAGTGGGGAGGAGGGACCAAATGCACACCTGTGTCCCTGCATGCCCGTCATTCTTGACAGGCAATTTGCTAGTATGGATATATTGGTGGAGAGAAGAAAAAAATATATGCACTGATATGAGAGTTTAATATTTTAAATAAGATCTGTAACTCACAATGATGTTCTCTGCTAAGGCTAAAACAGTGACGTATCTCATTCTGTGTATCTTTATAAGTACTTACATTCCATGTCACCTAGGTAATTTCAAGGATCTGAGCCCCAACCCTTATACGGACAAGCATTTTCTTAGCAATCCAATGGCCCTGCCTATTTAAGGAAACTACATCAAACAAAAGTGAGATTGGTTATAGAGCAGAAATGTTTGCAACATTGTTAAAATATTCCAGAAAAGTTCAAATCTCTAAGGGTAACAAGAAACTATTTAATCTAAACAAACTCCAGCACAGTTTTAGGCTGCAAAAACATCTTGAGCAGAAATTTATGGTAAGAGCTGAATATACTGTATACAAATATTAGAAGGACAATGTATTGGTCAAATCTGAAACAGATCACTGTTAAATAAAGGATTACACTGTCATTACTAGATTTGTGGAAAACTTGTAACAGTGTTACAATTCACATGTTTAATGGGCCCTTTTCAATTAGCCAGTTTTCTTATCATTAATCCTTCCTCCCTTACCTCATCTCAGGTACACACAATGATATATAAAGCCCAAGCCAGACCAGTACTAAGAGTTTACTGGATTAACTTGTCCCATTTAGTTTAAAAATAGGGCATACACCATTATACCACTGGGTCTTGTTATTTAATTTCTAACAGCATGTTTTGGATAGACATACAATAAGTCAGACAAGCACTTAGTGTTCCTCCCACTGACTGTTAGATAAGGCAGCCGACATGGGAAACCCACAAAAACTTAAGAAATCAATTAAAATCACACTTTCCGTACAGGAAGATAGACGCTGTCCAACAGTAACCCTCTATCCAAGGCAACAACAGTTATTTTGCATGGTAAAGAAGACTGATCTATCAGGCCATGGGGCAGATCTAGGATTTTGGAAAGGATGTTAAAGAGAAACTACAAGCCTTACTAATATACTAGGGGCCTGGCACTTTATTATTCATTTTAAGTTCAAAGCAAAACCAAATATATCTTTATTGGAATATGCACTAATTGTTAGATTATGTATTAAGTTTAAAAAATGCAACAAACTAGGCAAAAATAGTCAAAAGACATTATGTTATTTATCCTTTAGACACTATTTAAATGTGAATCTCTTATTCAGATTTGTAAAATAAAATATAGCCTCCTGGAGCATCCTGACAGTGCATCCAATGCACCACTATCATTAATGTGCACATTTGATTTAATGTTCACCTAAGTTAATGTTACCACAACTGAGTTAAGGTTTTTAGCTAGAGATATAACAGTCTGCCAGGCTTTGCAATAGAAGAGAGAGATTACCAGGAATGGTTAACAACTAGCAAAATTGAAGAAGAAAGGATAGCATGATTGGTGGAACATCAAGACCATTGAAAAGGAGAGAGGATCATTATTACCTGTGGAATGATGAGTTCAGAAGGGATCAGGTAGATTATAATGAGCCATGAAGTCAATTGACTCCCTTGCCACTCAGGCAGTTGGGTGGAACAGAAATCAAAAGGGAGTGGCAGGTGCAGTTACAAATTACACATTACACCCTCCCTAGTTCCTCCCCTGTATCAGGCACAAAATCAAACACATTATACTAATATGTCTATCAGGAATCTTCTTCAATCCTTACATTTCAAATAATCAAAATCTTTTTATCACATATGGGACAAAATAGGTTATGAATTGACAAGCTTTTAATGGAAAGGAGAGGGCATGGGTGGCTAAGGAAGGATAGATACCATTGAGTTTTAATGGAGTATATACTATATAAAATATTACCCTTTTTTCTTATATAGGCAATCAAACCTATCAACACATGAGTAAGGAAGACTACAATACATTAGTTGGAAAGTCTAGTTGATAAGTTATAGGATTCAGTTATACTAGTTTCCAGGTTTATTTTAGTCATCTCCCATTGTTTGCATTAATGTTGTGATGCAACTAGGAAGCACAAAATTCATTTCATATAGCCTTAAAATCAAACCTATTCAGGAGACAGTGAGACGCACTTCTTGGAAGGTTGAAAATAATTTTAAAAATACAAAATTCTAGACCCAGCATAATTATAAAACAGTATTAATCTGAGCTGAAGTAAGAGTGGATAACAAAATGGGAAATTATTTTTAACTATGTGAATAAGAGTGATAAGAAAATGTGTGTGTGAGAGAAACAAAATCACTGGTCCTTCCCATTCAAAACAACAGTCTCTAAAGAATATATTATATTGCTTTAGTACTTGTAATAAAAAAAGTTGTGGAAGAATGTTAAAACCATTATTTTAATGCAATCTACTTCAAATATCTTTATGGCAGTAGTTCCCAACATTTTTAGACTTGAAGCACCCCTCAGAAAATGCCAGATCTTAGTTTTTACTTCTGTTTTACTTTAGAAAAATGATAGAGAAATTCTTTTATTGCAAAAAAATCAGAGCAACCACAACAGGTCAGAACATTGTTGACACTGTAGTTTCCTGTCTGAAATCTCAGGGGATCTCTGGTGAATCATGTGGAGATGCTTGCACACTTAGCGATACAATTATTGCATGGCACCCCATGGCACCCTTAAAAGGATCTCATAGCACCCCAGGGCAACACAGTACTCTGGCTGAGAATCATTGTTTTAGAGGGTGATAGGAGATACAGAAATCATCTCAACCACCAAAATGTAGTGATCATTGTGATAGAATATAAATTGTAATATACAGCAGTACTTTGTAGTAATTTAGGATATGAAGTGAAAGAAACTGCCAAACAATTGTTTCTCCAATTTAGCTCCTGAAAACCTGGCTTACCTTTCTTGTGGGGAGCTGTGAAGAAGAAATCCTTATGCCAGATTCGGAGAGACTGAGTTTAATTACCTAGGAAGAAGTTTTGCCAAGACATTGAGATTATCAACTCAACCTTTTCAAAAGGTATCACAAGACTTTTAAAAACCACAAATGGTCTGGTACATTGTTCTATGTTGTATAGCAAAGATTTATGTTCATAGCACTTGGCCCTTTAATAATTTATTTGGTGCTTGAATGACAGCAGAGCTGGAGAGAACATATCAACTCCTGAATCACTGTGGATACCTACAAAGTGTGGAAGGAGGGTGTGTGTGGGGGGGGGTGCTGCGTGTGAATTTTTGCAGAGTAACTCATTTGAAAGAATTGTTTCCACATGGCTAGGTTCAACCTATTTTCCTTTGATTCAAAGGGATTACTACACTTTGAATCACTACATCTATATATCACTAATACTTGTTATGTTGCATTTTCTCTTTCTGTATCTGCCATTTAGATAAACATTACAACATATTTATTTAACCAACATAGTATCATTGTTGAGAGCAGCAGCTGATGGGGGGAATAGAGCTGGGTCTACAATGGGAGTAATATAGTTGGGGATGGTCCTGCTTTGAGCAGGGGTTGGACTAAATGACCTCCTGAGGTCCTGTTCAACCCTAATTTTCCATGATTCTGGGGAGGATGATTCTTTGACCAATGAAGAAATATCTTCCATAGTTCATATTCTATTGGCAAAAATGCCATTTGAATATACAGGCTAAGGTGTAGAGATTAACAGGAGGAAGAAGAAACATTAAGTAAGATGTAAATGAAGAGTAGGAAGTTGCTGGTGTGGCCAGTGACTGTAAGATATGAAAACATTCAAAGAATAATCACTGTAGAGCTTAAACTTGTGACCCTTTTCATAATTTGTTTTGACATATGCTTATGTATATTTTAGCATTTCGCTAGCTGCTGGTAATGCAGGACTGGACAAATATCTTCTTCCCCAGTATCAGTTCCATATGGATACATAAGACATAGCTGCCATAAAGCCAAAAAAAGTATCTGAGAGGTATACCTGTATGCATGCTAGCTTTTAAACATGAAGGTGACATACTGTTATCGTGATTCCAAAACAGTAGAAGGCATGTGTATAGATAGGCTAATACAAATGTGAAGCAATAAAAATATAAAAGAGAAAGTCAGCAACTGATGCAGGCAGAAACATTAATTCAAAATACAGATGAGCCTAGACTGTATTTTCCCCTGGACTAAATAATCCAAATGGAATTTATTTTTAAAACTGGAAGAAGACAATGATGATGTCTTACTAAAAAGACACCCCAGTGGGAGCCACCAGTCCTCCCATACACACAGCCCATCATGCAAGAGGCTGCTAGCATAAAGGCAAGCAGGTAAGATGGCTCCCTGTTGTGCAGCCCCATCTCTTTCCACCAAACAGAAGTGAGGGGTGGGGTTGCATGATGGACAGCTCACTCAATAAATCAGCGAGGAGGGGTGGGGCCATATGATAGACAGCCCTGTCTGCCAATTATCGGTGGGGGCAGGGCTACCAGGAGCCTTAACCAATCAAAGGTGGCGGGCTGGTATGATAAGCCCTCAAAATGGCGGCCTGCCCCACAATCTGCCCATGAAATCGCCTGGCCACTCCTTCAAGTTGGACAGACCCCTATTCATAAGATTTCTTTTGTTCCAATTCTCCAATTTGTCTAAACCTCTCTAAATCCTAGCCCTAACCTTCATCTTATCTACTACTCCCCACAGCTTGGTGTCATCTGCAAACTTACTGTGTACTCCATCCCATCTTCCAGAACATTGATGAAGATATTGAACAAAACCGGACCCAGGACTGACCCATGGGGCACTCCACTTGATACTGGATGTCTGCTGGACACCAAGTTCTTGATGCCCAACAATCCAGCCAATTTTCTATCCACCTTACAGTTGATTCATCCGGCCCATACTTACTTAGCTTGCTTGTGAGAATGTTGTGGAAGACCTTATCAAAAGCCTTGCTAACATCAGGGTATATCACAACCACTGTTCTCCACACATCCATTGAGCTAAAGATCTCATCACAGAATGCAACCAAGTTGGTATCTTTTGACGTATGCCTCAAAATTTGGGGGGGGGGGTTCTTTTCAAAGGACTGTGAGAATATGTCTGAAACTTCTGGGAGGCTACTGATTCCCATGAAGCTTTGTATATTTTGACCACTGAAAGAGAGGAAAATGTATCTTTGGATTGTGACCTTCTAGGTACATTGCAGAAGCTTGGAAGGATATCAAGAAATGTTCTCCACATGAATTTTAAGTATCTGGGGTAAGTATTTTAGTCATGTTCCACTTTGTAATATAAAAGTACTATAGAAGGATATTATTAAAATGGATCATAATATGCTACAAAACAAATGTTTAATGACAGGGGAAACAGGAGAGAATAGTAAACAGTTGAAAAGTCCATTCTTCTTGTTAAAGTGTGATTTTTTCCTTAGAAACTGCATTTTGTATCACAAACAGCTGACCACAAGAAATATGCATAATGCTTGTTTTTTTTTTCTCATCAAGAGAAAAATCCTAGTATTTCCTGAAAACTGACACTAAATTTTACTGACTCATCTTAATATGGAGAACTAAAAAGATACCAGAAACAAGGATTCCACAGATAAGAACAAAGGCCTAATAAACCTGTTCTCTGTTTCCTAGTACTCATAAGTGAATAAATTAATATGTATCATGATATTTGAGTAGGATTTTAAAAGGGAAATTTCAATAGCTCACATAATTCATAATGCAAAGATAAAGTTAATGAAAATAGAATGAATCTACAGATACATTGGCCAGATTTCCTTTAGGCATGTGACTAAACAATTGGCAGTACTTTATAAGGTCCAGGAAATGATAACAACATAGTAAGTCACATTTTCTATGGATCCTCTAATAATATGAACGGAATTACATAATTATGAAATCCCTTTTCAAATTCACTAAGAATACAGCAGAATAGGAATTGGTGATCAGCAACCGAAGAAAATTATTCAAGTAGAATGAAAACAATATTTTCAAAAAACAAATTATTTCCAAAGTTCTTACAAAAAGCAAAACAGTGCTGGAGAATGATGTGTGTTCATTTAAAGTAAAGTTGGTAGATTTAAAAAGATATAGACTGAAATACAAATATAGCATATAAAATATAAATCTAATATTGAAGGGCTCACACAATGTTACAAACATATTTATTCATCTCATACTTGGGTAGAAATACCCCAACGACAAATAGATCCAATTAATAAATTGATTGATACCAAAACGTAAGACACAAACTCATTTTCTGAGGCTATTTACAGCCTTCTGAAGATTCATACATCACACGCTAGTGGTTATAATGGTAAGTGGTCCCTAGATCACATCAATTCCATCTCCCACCTCTTTTTGCATGGTACATGGTGGTCTGCAATAATAGCTGATAGCTGACAGTGATCCATTGGTCTAGGTAATTTGGGAACCACTTAACATGTGCAGACCACTAATAGGAGCAATTAACCCACTGATTCAATTTCTCTCATTAGTAGGTCTCAAAAACAAAACTAGTTAACCCCAAAGTAATTACAAGGGATGAATCCATCATGCTTTTTGTTGCTCCAGAACTTGACCTCATGCTAATCAAACCATCAGTGAACTGCATAGTTGCAGACATAACAAGAAACAGCTGATCAAAGAACAACTTGTTTAGCATTGCAATATGTTGCAAAACATGTGGTAGCATTCCATAGCTGATGAAATCCTAGCCAGTGATCTTTAAGAACTTTCTTACAGTTTATATCCAAAGCTTAAGATCCACTTAGGAATCTTAGGGCCTAAACAATTTTGGGCAGCTTCTGGAGCTCCCAGCACCTGGATTGTCTGCACATTAACACCTTAAAGCACTCATTATACATTCAAAGTTATGCCACTCTCAGCTCCTGTTCCATTAAGATGTGGTCACTCTTCACAGATGTGCATAGGCAGTGGAAGTGGAGGCTAACAGGGCTCAACCCCGCCAAATGCCAAGACAGCCCAGCCGCAGGCTGTTGGAGCAGGGGGGAGGGGCACGCCAGGATCTTAGCTGGTCCAGCATGCTGGTAAGTTTCTTTTGACTGCCTGGGCTTAGAGACAGATCAAAACCCCCACAGTGCAGGAGGGAGCAGAGTAGAAGCAGGGGCAAATCACTCCCCCTGCCCCGCTCCCTGCTGCACTGTGGGGATTGCCCCACAACCTGGCTGGGTTGTGGGGCAATGGGAGCCCAGTGGATTTTCCAGGGGCATGGGCAGGTGGTTCCCACCACTGCACACACTGTGGGGGAACCGGGGAGCGGGGCACACTCCCCTCCCCCTGGCTGCCCTGTACCACACCCCGGACGAGCCACTGCCTGTTCTCCCTGCAGTCCACGCCTCCCTGCAGCCTTTGAAAGTGGTGCCACGTGCCCCGCTGCCCAGCCCTCTCAGCAGTGGGACACACATAGTGCCACGCTGCTTTCAAAGGCTGCAATGAGGGGCGGAGGCAGGGAGCAGGCACAGCTCAACTGTAGCCCACCCTTGCCCCATGCAAAGATCGGCTCCCTGGTGCCGCGCTCTGGAGGACCCACCAGACTCTTCCCAGGGCAGGGTGTGTACGGGTGTCCCAGGGGCTCTATCCCCTTTGGCTTGGCAGCGCAGTCAAGACTGGCCCCGCTCAAAGTCTGGGCCCCCCCCAGGCAGTGTGGGACTGGGGCCAGGCCAGGACCTGTGCCAAAAGGCAGCCAGGAATGGTGCACTGCTTGTGGGTGGTGGACGCCGGCACTGGGCAATGACCCCAGGCGCAGGGGAAGGGGCAGCCACACAGGTACAGCGGACCCTGACCCCAATCCCTGCCTACTCCCAGCCCCAGCCTTGCTCCCTCCCCTCTGCCTCCACCCCTTCCCCTGTGGACTTTGGGGGTGGGGTGCATGCATGCACATGAGTGCTCAGTCCCCCCAAAAAAGTTCTCTCTCTGCCTATGCAGATGCGCCACCTGAGTTGAAGTCCCCCAGTACCCCGGGATCTCTCACATCCCCGCCTGTAGGGATAGAAGCCTGTTCTGGGTCACCAGCCCTCTAGTGGCAACTCACAGCTACAGCTCCTAGTCCTGCCCCTGCTCATCAGGCCTCTGGTGCTCAATATAAAATGGTAACAAAGGACTTGAAATAAAATTAAGAATCTCCAGCATTTTTTATACTTTTGCTATGAATGGGTAATAATGAGTGGAAAAGTGCAAGAGAAAACTATGTGAACATTTTGAATGTGCTGCATTATCTGGTTCCTTTCTTTCCTAAGAGAAAGAAGATATAAAATATATTTCAAGTGTTTTAAACTGCATAATACATTTTTAAATGTTACTTACTTGATTCTCTAGCCTACTTGAGTCTCCAACAAAGTTCCACATGTCAGCTCCAGCATATACTGGCTGAGGCATCGTTCAGCACAAAAGCAACATACTTATATCAGGGGAGTACACTGCAAGACATAGAAGGGGAAAAGTAAAGAATGGAATACAGTTCTGAATGCCTCTTAGTCAACCCATTATGGGCATTCAAAAGTCACTGAAGTTATGCTTTTAACCTCTGCCAGTTACCTTTAAATCTTCCACAGAGAGGAAAAACAAGACAGCTCAGATATTTATTTGCTAGGCATTAGAAACCCATCTTGACACTGTCATCTTTGAATGCTGTAGTGTTTTGTTTGCTTCTAGAAACAGTTGGTTGTGCAAGAGTGATTTTTTGTGACTGGTGATTGGTGATTGGCAAAAGAGCACTATTATGACAAGCACAGCATGGTCCTCTGCTTCATGTAGTATCAAGACTGTTTTCCTAATGATAGTAGACCTTGATTCTTTTTTCTAATGACTATAAGACCATGCCACAGAAAGTTATTTTAATAGTTGCTCCCTACACAGACAGATGTAGGGAAATTCTTATTGTTTTCAGCATTTTATTAAAGGATCTAAGCCAGAATAAGGAGGCATTTTTCATAGTGGCTAGGCCAGTAATCCTTAATTAGCTCTCCAGCACTGTTTCCTCTCCCTTTCCCCAGCTTCATTTAAGCAGTGCTTCTGCAGTAGACTCAGCATAACAGGTTCCCAGCCAGAGTCTGCATTCATCTTGTGATGTCTCTTACCCTCAAGATTTAGTTGGAAGTTAGTCACTTAAGTTAAAAAACAAAAAACCCTGCTCAGCAGCTGTATAACCCTGGAAAACCTCATACACATGAGACATTTCCTTGTTTCACATGAAATTTCCCTACGCATCTGCAGTTCTGCTTTCTGTGTATTCCTAGAACTAATAGTTTTAGCATGAAGTGCCTCCTGCTCCCCAGACCCAATGGGCTCCCGAAACTAGGGGAAGTAAAACCTAAGGCCACTGAGGTCCTCAATAGAGTCAGCATGCTCTGAGCCACAGGCAATGTGTGGTGGGGCCATACAGGGACATGGGCCCCCCCCCGAGATTGGTCCTCGCCAGCACTTCCGGTTTCGCTGGTTGTGCTTCTGGGATTGATGATCAGCTGCTGGGGGACCGCAACCCCAGTCGGCAATTGGCTGCTGGTACCCCCACTGTCTCCCCAAGTCAGGAAGCACCAGTCGCCCATGCTCTGAGCACATGGAATGGAATATATAGCAGCAGATAAGGACAAAACACAACAATTATGGCCAGTCACAATCACTTTTGTTAAATATTGAAGAGGAAGGAAGTGATACTTGTGCTCACCTTTTACACAATGGTTTACTGGCTTGAGTCTAAGTCTAAGTTTCCCTTAGCCCGAGGGTGATGTGAATATATATCACTCTCATGGCAAGTGCCCTAATCATCAGGCTATAGGATAGGTTGTATGGGAACAGTTTTCACTCCTGTTGAAGTTTGATCAGTTGGTAGCCAAGAGTCAAGGGGCCAGAAGGAAGCTAACCAGAAAGCTGCTTGATTGGCTCAGTTTAGAGTGAACTCATCTGGGCTGGTGGGAAGGGAGTATGAGATAGTGGGGAGTGAATTCCTGGGTTCCTCTTTGTGCTTTCAGGATTACTCCTGTGTTTTATCCCATGCCTATTTATCATAAAATGTATGAATAGTTCAGGGAAGCAGGGACCAGAAGCTAGAACTCTCCCTCGCCAACATTGTGCCCTAACCAATAAGCTATAGCATCATGTTTCCTCTTGTTTGCATTCTTTCTGGCTCTATCACTCTCTGCAACCCAGAGAGCCAGCTTCTTTCAACAAAGAGAACAGGTGGTGCCCCTACATAGCCTATTCTGTGGCTCAGTGGTTAGGGCATTCTCCTGTGAGGTGGATAATGTGGATTTATGCTCCTTTAGGCTAAGGAAGACCTAGAACTCAGATCTTGCTTCTAATTCAATGGTGTAACCATTAGGATGTTATATAAAAGCACATAGCAGATCCTCCAGGGGACTGTAGCAGTGGGGCAAAGCCCATTCTCTAGAGCAAGGACTCTGGATCACTGACAGGTGTTCAATTCTTAGGAGAGAGCCCCTCTCAGGGGAGACTGTCTAGGTGTTCAACCTGGAAGATCTTTTTCCCAGAGTGGACATGTTTTCTCTTGGAGAAATTGAATGAATGTTTGTACACACCTACTTTCTATTAGGAGGTTGGTGATTCTCCTGTTAGTAAAGTAGTGTCTGTAAATAGCTTTAACACCTGTGCTTCCTTTGTTGCAGAAGGTAGAAACAGTGCAATGAATGCTGGAGAGAACTGCAGACAAGAAAAATGAGGGTCTCAGGGCTGAAGCAGTGGAATGCTGACCTGTGGAACTAGATTCTACCCTTGCCGCTGCTCAGAGTTTGTATGTGATAATAGTTTAATTATTTAACCCCAAATTGCCACAGGTGGCCACATAATTCGTGTTCTTCATTTTGTGTGTGCCCTAGTTAAGACACCTGGGCCCTGACTTGCAGGAGCGCTAACACTGCCAGCTGCAGTTGGAATTATTCAGAGCTGTATCTGAATATACAAACTGAGCTTTTTCCAATTAAATTTTTTTTGGGGGAAAACCATTAGGAACCACAAATTGGCACCAAAAAATAAAAAAACTCGGTCATTCAGTCAATGGGATGAATGAAGCTAAAATAATACTGAATAGCAGCTTACTGAGTTAGGTTATGTATCCTGTACAATGAATAAAACAAGAAATACATTACATGCAATCATGTCATTAGACACCATATAATAACTCATGCTTTCTAGAATGCTGACTGAAAGTTGCCTATTCTTTCACTTAATATTATTTAAAATGGAATTTATTTAAACAGCATCAAAACAATGTATGTGCTTGATTTTGCCCATATTCTTTCTCCAACATAAATATATCACAAAACCAGAGAGACAACAGGAACCTCTAAGCAGAAAACACAAAAAATATTATTCCATTTCAGCTTTCATAATAAAAGGAGCATTTCTCTCTCTGCCAATGTGAAACAGAGGATGTATCTACACTTCTGACCACAGTCATACCAAAAATAGCCTAGCCTAGAGCTGTTTGGAAGTAATTTATCCTGCTGTTGTTTAAATAGTTTTAATCGATCACTGGTCAGTTAACCAATTAAACCTTATTATAATAAGGTTTCCCTTGGCTAGTTAACTTGAAAATGATGAGGAGGCTGTCCAGAGAATCCAAAATGGACTCAGTAAGTTTAACACTAATAATCTGGCACAAAGATAGGAATAAGTCTAATCAAACTTCCTGTCCATTTTCCTCAGGTCACAGGGCAAAAATGGTGAGTTATTAAAAAAAAAAGCAAGAGTTTGAGGAACAAACTTATACAGCCTAAGCTAAAATGGATAATAGTAGTTTCAAGAAATGTCCTTATCCACTAAACAGGCTAGACCAGTAGTCTCTGGTGCTCCTTGGGAGGTATCAGACAAACACTGTTTATCACTGAACAAGACCTGGTTCTGAAAAGGAAGGGAGTTTTTCTTTCCCTTCTTTCTGGTACCCAAGCACATGGTTAACCAATGCCTGGAGCATCCTATTTTGGCTGGTATACTGGCCCACTCCAGTTAACATATTTCCACAAATCAAGATTTGGGAGTTAACAAGGGCTTTAACTGGGAATTCCAGAATGTCTTAACATGTCTGTTACAATCAAGTAATTTGTAAAGGTGTATAATTCACCAAATCTGAATTCATATACTTACATAGTCATGTACTTGCAACTGTCACAATTGCACGCATTTTATATACAATCTTGTTGGTTTGTAATATATATCAATTCTGATGGTTTGCAAAGTTAAAAAAGGAAAGCTCCAACTACCAACCAAACCAGTAACCAAACTAAACTAGGAGGGAAATAGGCATCCCATCCTAAAGTCTACCACAGTTTACTAGAGATTAGTTCACAAGAGTTTACAGTGATGCCCATATCTGAGAGTCGCATTGAAATGGCTAAATTGTATCAAAATGTAGATATATATTGTTTTAAAACATTAGGTACCTTTATTAGTAACACTTAATGTTACACTTTAAATTAAAGCTGTATTTGAATCATGAGACAGATCATACATATTTCACTGCCTTTTTGGATCAGTCTTCTATTCAAATATTCTTTTCCCTTTGAAACAAGCTGAAAAGTTCAGTATGATACACCCATCAGATTCCCAGCAAACAAGGGTTCACAGCTGTTGCCTCTTTCCTTTTTTAGGATTGGGAGGGGATCACTGGTTTTTATCTCTCCTTACAAGAAGGGGATCAAGATTACTGTAGCTTCTGCTGGGAATAAGTAAGGTTATCATTTGTATATGAGCCAGGACTCTTAGGCAAGCTATGCAGCTTCCAACGTATCAGTCTACTGAGTTCTTGCCTAGTTTCCATTCACAGTAAGCAAAAAATAGACCAATTACATGATATATGCCTCACATTTGAGATATAGGGGACAGGTGACTAACGCATTGGAAGATTAGCATTATTTTCTTACCCAAAACAAATTTCCACTTGTGCTGACTCCATAAGCAGGTGCAAAACTTCCATCAACATTATCATATTTTGTTTTACCAAATGTAGAAGTACTGGCTTTGCAGCACTAGAGACTGAAGTGCTGAATTTCTCCAGCAATTTTCTTCACAATACCCTCACTCACTTAGTGCTGTAAACTTTATCCATAATGAGACTCTGTGGAAGATAACTATCAGGTGTATTCCATTCTCAGGTTTTTGGCTAAGACTGAAGCAACGGGAAAATAGTGACATTTTTGCACAGTTTATTATGTGATCAGAAATAGAAATTACAGCCACATGCTTAACTTCACATATAATTTCTAAAATTGATTCTTATTTTTTGAAGATGTTAAGATTTTAAGATTCCATTTTACATTGAAAATAACAGATACTGTTTATTTAAATTAATAAATTTGATATTGACAAACAAGATCTTTAAATTAATTGATCAGTCAGATATTTCTGCCATTTTATATATTTTTTATATGACAGTCTTTTAAAAATCATTCTCCATGAAAAAAATCAGCCATTCATTCCTAAACAATTTTCCAGTATTGCCATTATACAGAATTGTTAAATTATCAAACTGCGGGTTGTAGTTTATAAGATCAATAATGACAACAGCTTCTAAGCTGAAGATCACCCTATTCTGCTTTTGTATACCTCTCTCATCCGTGGTATCATGAAATTGTGTAAAATGCTTTATAATGGCACCTGAATCTTATTACCTGGTGATAATAACATATTTTAAGGATGACAGTTTAAATTATATACTGTGCTAGCAGACTACAACATCTCAATATTTTTGCTACTCTTCACTAATTTCTTAGTAAAAAAAATAGGCTTCATCCTCTCCACCTCCTGATTTCACATTGGTACTTTCTTTAGCGAACAAAAAACTGAAATGTCAGCAGAAGGGTTATTTTCCAAAGGCAGAATCACTTCAGAAGCTACATGACCACAAAAGACTATCCCTAATTCTGATTCTTCAGGGGATGGGCAGGGAGGCAGGAATGACTCCAGGGCCTTGGATCACTGAGGGCATTTATACACATGCTCTGGGAGTGGAGGGAGGGCACTTTAATTAGAGTGGCTCTCTGAGAGCTGCTCTAATTAAAGTGCCTGGAG